CCACATGGAAGACTGTTAACTTATTCAGTGTTTATCATGTAATCGGTTAACTTAGATAACCAATTCCATTTATACTGAAACCTCTTAATGTTGATAATAGCTTTAGACTCGTCTGGGATTTAAATTTATACTGTTTAATCTATCAGAATAATTTATAGCCGTGAGTAAGTAGGTGTTGTACAATTTTACGTAAAGGTATCTTAATTCTAAAGATCGTTAGTTCGATAAACTTTACACTGAACAATCGTTTCACTTCTCTTGCTACTACTCGTGTGAGGATGTCGTCCTTTGCCCGCTACTTCGTATGTATGGATATCAGAAGTAGGAAAACTAATGAAATAGATTTATTAAAGACGATGTATCCAAATAAACTATACACCAGATTTTAAGTTAGACCTCCATGCCTAGAACTTAGAAAACCTAATCTAATTTGGTGTAGAAGTTTTTGCGTGATACCGGAACAAACATACAGACAGACAGAAAAAAATTCAAAAAAATATTGTTTTAGTATTTACTGCTCTTATTAAGCTCTCATATCAGTTCTTCTTAAATATCTCTTATGTGCAGACATTGTCTTGTTGCATTTTCATTACATTAGTAAGATTACATCGTTAGTAGATGTCTGTATGTACAATCAAAATGTACTTGTCAAAAATCAATTTTACTTTTATAATTCGACTACAAAATTAAGCGTATCCAATCTGCCCGTAGCCAGTTTTTTGTTCATTCTGTTTTTTTTTTAATGGGACGTAATAAAAACATATCGTCATAAGATTAAGCAGGCAATTATCATAAGAAAATTAGGTACTATCCATGGACGCAATAAAACAATTGTCTTTGTTTACTAGTAATAAAGATGACTGACCTATTTTGTATACAAAACCTTAGGTAGGTACTCAGTTTCTTTATGAGCTAAAATTTTTATTTTTATGATACTGGTACAGGGTTTTTTAATGGGTGAAAATAAAATAGTGACCTTGCCTGCGCTAGCTAGTGGAGTGCCAGTGAGGATGATAGGCGAGGATGAAGCAGAAGTGCTAAATTCAACTACAATGTTTTCCAAAGGAAATTGCATGAAGGTCGGCCTAATAGGGTTTTGTTGGGTGAAAATGGTATGGTAACCCCGCCTGCGCTAACGAGATACGCTGGCGGAGCACCAGTGAAGGGTGATCGATGAGAATGAAAACAGTCCAGTTAGTCTATCATGATGAATTCATCAGGAATTAACCATGATAGTTTCCAGGGGGAACTGCGAGGAGGTCGACCTGGTTGGATATATTGCTAGCAATGGGATTCTCAGTATCCATTACTAACAATCCCTTTCCCCCCTTCTTTTTTAAAAAGCCGGTAGCACACTTGTAATTACTCTGGCGTTGCTGGTGCTTATAGTCGCTTAGCATTAGGTGAGCCACATGCACGTTTGCCTCCTGTGTTATAAAAAACGAATAAAACGACAAGAACATGGTCAAAAAATATTAATAATATCATTTAATTATTATTTGTCATGGCCGAAATTATGACGGTGATGATCTATTCGATGGGGGGGAGAAGGGATTGTTAATAATGGGGATTAGCAACTCCATTGTTAGTAATAAACCCTATTAATCAACCTCCTCCCGGTTCCCCTGGAAACCATCCTAATAGATTTCTTTTTGAATTCGTCACGATGGCCTAACTGACCTGCATCATTGTTACCTATCACCCCTCACTGGTGCCTCGCTAGTATATACCGATAGTGCGGATAGGGTTACCATTCCATTATCATCTATTCAAAAAAAAAAACTGGTGCCCCGCCAATGTATACCGATAGCTCTAGTGGGGTTATCATTCCATTAAAAGGAAATACCTATTTAATACGTTACTTAGGTATTAGCACTTTGAACATAAAATGTTCAGCAAAGGCAGATTTTCGAGTTCGTATCGGAAAATTGTCTATTTTGTACCTACTTATTTTAGGAATTTATTACAAAATGTTGTGTGAAATCGTGACTGTACCAGGGTTTGATCTAACACGACTTTTTTCACTATATAGTCCAAGAGACAAGAGACGTCGAATGTAAATGTGTATTAATAATATTTTATTGACGACTTAATGAAGCAGAGGTAATATGCGTATAAGTAAATAAATGTATTTTTTTTATCTAAAATATTGATATTATTATAGCAATAATATCTATATAAAAAATCTGTTTCGCCGTATGGCCTTGGTATAGAAAAGGTCAGCCCTTTCTTTCTAGTGGGTGTCGTAAGAGGCGACTAACGGAATAAAATAGTAGAAGGATGGGCAGCAGCGTTCCTCTAAACGTCACCAAAGCCTAACCGCGGTTGCCAACTCGCCGGTCAAGCGTGGCATCTACTGACTCCTCCCCCTCCCTCAATAGGGGGAGGCCTATGTTCAGCAATGGACAGTTAATGACTGATATAATTATAATAAAGTCAGTTTTATAAAGAGACAATAGGCCTTTTGTAGTTGAAGAATAACGTTGGTATAAAAAGCTATTGATTATTGAGAAGAAATCATAAAATAAGCTGATTATTCCATAAAATAGGTACTATTTTTATTATTTGGACCTCATTCCTAGGTAAATCCTATGTGTAGTCAACACTAATACTTTAGAATTGATATGAAAAAGAGAGGGAGATAGATTTGAACAGAGAGACAGGATTACCACTTCCATTTTATCCATATTTTGTGATTTTATAAACCGTAGGTGATATTTTTTATAAAAGTAATAAATAATATTCATTATAACTGCTGAGGTGATAGGATTTCAGTGAGACAGGTGATTTCTATCATTCAATCTACAGGCCAGGTTCTTAGTTTTCTATAAAATAGATTAAAAATATCGATATTAAAAAATCTAAATTTTTATATTTTGAATTCTATCTCCTGGTTTAATATTAATTGTAAGGTAGTGTCACCAAAGTGTTAAATAGATGCGAGCATCGCACAGCGTCGCAGTGACAATTTGTTAATATATAATTCGATATAACACAATTTGTTGCAATTTAACCACTTCATGTAAAGCAGATAAAACTGGTTCTATGCAATAATATTATTCATATGAAATTAGGATTCAGGCTAAACCATTTTCAATCTAAAAAACCTAATTGCTTTGGTTGGTTATTGTATATACTAAAAAAATAAGCATTTGGCGTAATTAGAGTATTTTTTTATTAGGAGGATGGTAGCTAAGATAATAAAATGCACTCTATCTCCCCTTTTATTCATACTGCAAACACTTTAGTGAACTCAGTTCCTCACGTGTACATAGGCAACTCTCGCGACAGAAGAAACGGCTGTCGACGATCATAAAATTATTCTATTATTTATAATGATCACGACTATAATTCTTAATGGGGTAGGCATGGATATATGTAAATTGTTTTCATTATGATGTACTTACACATATTAGATTCCAAAGTGGTAGGGGGAAATTATGCGGGAAAAGCCACGAGTTAAAGCTAGTAAGTACTTGATAAAACTTTCCGTTTATACACAAGTATTTTCTGAGGTATTCCTAATGAAGATTTTATGTTTCTGATTATAAAATATTCATTACATATTATATATAAAGACCATGAAATTGATATGTTTATAGCAATGATTTTCTAACTGTTTGGTTGTTTGTTTATCAAATGCTGCCAAACGTCCCCGAGCCCTAATTGAGTATGCTGTATGGAATCATTTACCTACTTACATATTGATACGAAACAATGTCTCCATTACTGTGATTTGAATAGTAAGTTTATGAGGATGTCCGGACTAAAATAATATAGGAAATATTCTAGACTATTCTTTTAATGCTAAATCTTATTGTTCGACTATCGATACCTTTGGCAGTATATGATACTTCCTGTGCTATAAAGGAAAAATACAAATTGTAGATAAACGTGTTAAGGATTTTAAGTAGGTACCTACTAGGTATATGTACACTAAATATATTTCAATAGAACAATAACTAGAGTAACTTAGGAATCTACTTACATGTATTTTAATCGAGAATGCTCGACTAGTTTGAAAATTAACGGGAACCCATAATAAACTAAAATTAATTAGTTAAGCATTATTGATAAAAATACACGTTAAGCATATGTATTTTTTTATTTCACAATTTAAGTAAAATGTGTGTATTCAATAGATATTTTTAATAATAAAATAGTACAATAAGAGAGAGAGAGAGAGAGAGAGTATACAAAAGTCATATGTATAGGTACCACCCGTAGTCTGCTGCCAAAAAGCTGTGCTTGCATGTCTGTTTCAATTTAAAGGGTACGATATAATAGAATAGAATGGAAATAATATTTATAAAAATATTCTTATCTACAAGCTCTATTGAATTATAATATTTTTTATCCTATTTTTGGGTTCGATATGTTATTTATTATCTGCCGAGTGAAACCCACAAGAAAATCTAGATTTATTCTATTAAATTTATTTATTTATAAGATAACTGAATTATCTTACAGGATACCCGGGTACTTATAACATTTGTCTTTAGAAATGGTGTACAGAAATAAACTACTATGGGTATTATAGTTTTATCTAGGTACTTAAGTACTATAATTTTTATTAAATATCATTCTAAGTGTTTTATTATAACTATAATTAAAATAGCGATAAGAAATAATTAATCTAGAATTTATTTTAAAAATAAATTAGGTACTAACATTAATAAACTTTTGATTATAAGGACGTACACTCCATACATTTCTGCGTTGAACTAAATATGATTTCGTTTCGTTTTGATTTTACACAACTTGTAGATAACTAATGAATTTGTTTTCAATTATTTGTTGTATACAAAATATTAACATAATATACGGTCTTTAAAATAAATCTAAAAACCTATTTATGTGTTTGTAAATACTAAACACTTATATGTAAATATATTTTTAATAATAGATTCATTAAGAATTTTATAATAATGGATGGCTTTGCCAAACGCATGGACTACCAAATGATGACATTTCACTGACAAAACAGCATGTCAACTTGTTGTCAATTTGAGTTTGATATTTAGAATTCTTCAAATCTTCCTTATTGTCTACATTAATTTCATTGCGAAAATTAATAAATTTATTTAATTGTGATCACTTTTATAATGGATTATCAAAGTAGGCAATTAGCCGAAGACTTTTTTTTACGAGAACCCGTTGATGCTCGTATAAGGTGATTAAAAACCTTTATACAAAAATATTGCACAACCTGTCTTAATTCGAAAAAATCATATTATTTTATACTTAATTATTGAATATGTGTAGGAAACCCAAAGATGATACAAAGGAAGAGAGCCACCCTAATCTTAAGGTGGAGATGCAAACCATCCGTCTTAATTCTGACTCTCAGAAGCTGGTGCTGGATACATTGAGGTATATCCATGGCCCTGACTTCAAGCTGGATAGTGCTAGTCTTTATAAAGTAAGTAAATGATTCATTATTGTCGTATAGAGACTTTCAATTTAGATGAAATATTGCACAATTTTGTTATAAGCGCGTTTTAATGTTTAAGTTTGTAGGTTTTACTGTACAATCTATAATATTGCACAATAAAATTAATACATTATGCATACCCCCAAGGCTACTGCACTAACCATAATTTTATAATGTCTTTAGATTTTGCAAACGAGACAAAAGATAAATATTTTTAGAAATAGTTTGTGTTTATGCTACTTAGTTACTGTAGAGAATTGATTAAATTTCATCTCATTTAAAGTGTGTCCACCTAATATAAATAATAAAACCCTATAATTTAAAATATCTCTTATCTTGGTATGTTAAGTTTATATGAATAAACAATATAATGATTAACTTGAATAATAATAATTGATACAATAATATTTCTTAGAAAGATTAAGAGTTTCTTCATTTAAACTATTGGTAACACTTGTAGATCACTTTATATTTTAATGTCTATGGTAATCATATGATATGCATATTATAGATATGATGTTATAGCATCATCAATGGAAAATTAAATGTCTTCATACATATGCAGTCTATTATGTAGTCGTGTAGTAGTGTAGTTATGTAGAATTATGAATTACTCAAGTATCTTATTAAAGGATCTCATTTGTATATAGGATACTTTTTTTTTTAAATAAAAAGAAAGAAAAGTGAATTTAATCTAAATTAATAATGGATAAGTACATTTTTTATTTATGGATTTACCAGGGTTTCAATGATTTTGCCAATTTCAAAGTTGGAAAAGACACTGCAAAAGTTTTATCATTGGTGCAATATAATTTTGTTTTACATATTCATTAAGTATCTAAAAACAAAGAGAAAACCACAATCATTGAAAATATTATGAACAGTATTATACCATATCTTTAACTTTCAGAAATATTCATTGATTATCCTTCAAGACAGATTGCAGTAAAAAAATACATAGTCACAACAAAATTATTTTATTATATTAAAAAGATATCTATCTATGGATAAATGTTATATTTTACTTTGATTAAGTTTTAATGTTTAAATATAATTCTGTTCCAGGATAAAGGTACAAATCTCAGTAACCGTTACTGGATGGAGCGTGGTAACTTAGTGGTGCGAGGAGGATGTGACTACTCGTTGAATGTGAAACCAGATATAGAGACTTCTGAGGCCAGGCTGAGAGCTTTTGCATTAGCAAAGCTAGAGAAGTATGATTATAATTGTTACTATGGACATTTTGGGGAATTTATAATATTATATAAAAAAAACTATGTGCAATTTTTTTTATATTTTTAGATCTATTTAAATATCAAAAAAATTAAGCTGTTAATCAGTAATCTTGTTATGTAAAAAAAATTTAAGCATTTTTAAACTATACTGTACTTAATTAATGGATATACTGCTTATACTGTATTGTGATCAACATTACAAAGTTGACTTAATGCTATAGAGCATCCATTTACACACGCACTCATATATATATATATTAAAATCAATGTTACATTATCTTACAGATATAACTTCCTAAAACCTCATTGTGCTGAAGCATTAGAACTAGCTGCCGAAAATGTGGATAAAGCATTAGAAATATTATTTTATAAATATTTCAAAGTGGATCCACAGGACAAGCCCAATGATGTACCATCAATAGCTGAATTATTAGAAATGAGAATGGATGAGAGGGCAGTGCTTGAATCAATTTATGACACAAGTTTTAAAATCAAAGAAAATGATGTATGGTCTGTTAAATTGAATCTAGATTATATAACAAAGCAATATGAAAATAAAGATGTCGAACTGCCGAAAAAGACGCACAATATACATTACAATAAAAATTACAATAGTAATATTAAACCAAAATCTAAAGAGGTGTGTAAACTTTACTTAAAAAGCCCTTGTAGATTTGGTGATAAATGTAAGTTTTTACATGAAAACAAAGTTCAAGAAATTAAAACAAAAGATATTGTTAAAGAAAGTGAAAAGATTACTTATGAATTAGAGATAAGATTTCCAGAAGACACTGCATATCCATACCAACCTCCATTGTTGTTTTTCAAACCTGAGATTCCTACGAAAACTATACCTGAATTAGCATGTTTAAAGATAACAGCAAAATTATTGGAGGAGGCCAAGACTTTGGCTCAAGATGGTATCCCTAGTATTTACTCATTAGTTGAATTACTTAATAATGAAGATGAAATATTGAATTTTCTTAAATTTGATACAAGAACATTTCCTGCTCTTTCTGATACTCTATTTCCTCAGTTATTAGAAAATCCCAATTCACATAAAGAGAATTTACCATCTCATTATAAGAAAGGCCAAGATAAAAATAATAGGAACAATGTTAATTTTGAAGAAATATTAAAAGAAAACAAAGAAATAGCTAAAAGATGGCTTGACAAAAGGGATAATAGTAGGTACAATAAAATGATGGCGGACAGAAGAAAACTTCCAGCTTGGAAGATGAAAAATGACATATTGAATGCAATTAAAAAATCGCAGGTCTGTACTGTTTTAATGGATAAATAATTTTGATTGTTGATGTGATGGAAAAATTAGCATCTTATTTTTAAGTTTATTGGAATAAGAATTACTTTTATTTAAGGTTATTGTCATTACTGGAGAAACAGGTTGCGGTAAAAGTACACAAGTGCCCCAATATATTCTAGACGATTGGTTAGCAAATTTTAACAAAGATGGTCCTGAGCATGCAGAGATTATATGCACGCAGCCGAGAAGAATATCAGCTATTGGTGTTGCTGACAGAGTAGCAGATGAAAGGGTAGAAAAAACTGGCCAAATTGTGGGTTACCAGGTAAGATTTCTACAATCAAAATTTTCGGGAAAAATAAATCACATTTATTGGTAAAATATGCAAAACACACTTTACATGACTCTTGTCATATTTTTTAAATATAATGAATAGCCACTTGTCCATAAAAAAAGAATACAATATATATATATATGTATATTGTAATTTCATCATAATGTAGCAGTATGGTTCCGGCATAGAATAGGCCACCCTTTACTTTCCCGTGGGTATCATAAGACTTGACTAAGGGAGGATGAGGGATAGACAGCAGCATCCTTCTTAAAACATCACCAAAACCTAATTGCAGTTGCCAACTCGCTTGCCAAGTGTGGCAACTAAAGGCAAAATCTCCCTTATGGGAAGGCCTATGTTCAGCATTGGACAGTTGACGGCTGATATGATATATATGATGTCACCTGTCATTGAATTTTTTTTTAATTTTTATTAAGTGCCATGTATATATGATTTATAATATTCGTCTATTTCGATTCCAGATAAGATTAGAAAGTAAAGTGTCATCAAAGACACGTTTAACGTTTTGTACTACTGGTATATTGTTACGTAGATTAGAATACGACCCACAGTTGAAGTCCGTCACTCATATATTGGTCGATGAAGTTCACGAGAGGTCAGAAGAGAGTGATTTCCTTTTATTCATCCTAAGGGACCTTATCAAAGTAAGAAAAGACTTGACTGTTATACTAATGAGTGCGACATTGAACGCCGAGTTGTTTTCGGATTACTTTGACAAAGTTCCAGTTTTGGAGATACCCGGTAGAACATTTCCAGTGGAGCAACTGTTCCTAGAAGATATTATGGAAATTACAAACTATGTTCTAGAAGAAAATGGTCCTTATGCACGTAAAACGAAAAAAGGTATGATATTGTTTTTGCTAACTCTTTCATAGTGATTTCTTTCATATCGTCTTAATAAACGAATGAGTGTCCTCTTAATATATCTGTCTATTATTATTCAACTGTTGGTTGTCCAACAACTTGTGGTCTCCCTCATTTCCTTCTAGATACTTTTGTCATTTGCTACCTTAAATTATTAATTTTAATACATCCAGGATATCACGCCATATCCTTTTTTGGGTTAAACTTGGCGACATTGTTCATCTATAGGGAAACGCACAACGGCCCAAATGAGAGGCTAAGCGCGGAAAAAGAGTCTTTTTCACATTCACATCTATAGGGAATCATATTGGACGGATTTTTTATACCATAAACATAAACAGCTTGTTCAATACATCTATAGGGAATCACATTGAACGGATTTTTTATACCATAAACATAAACAGCTTGTTCAATACTAAAAGGACACTGTAGCTTAGGAACGCTTGCAACATCGAGTAAGTCACGTATGCATTTGCCAAGCTTGAAGAAACCTTAATACATAATTTTTAAAATATCATTTTTGATTGTTAACAATAGCGTCTAACAACCCTGTTTTTAGTAAAAAGAGGTATGTGTTCGAGAATGGTCGATTGTATGGTAGATAAGTGGACTGTAGTTGCCGGTTCATATAGCAATAATAAAAAAAACCGCAGGGTGGAGGGTGGTATTTTATTTCGAGCGAGTATCGGTACAATAGGTGTGGTTACAAGGCAGAGCGTTCTTTTTGTGTGTTGCCACATATAAAATTACATTAGAACGAGCCAATATTTGCACTTATTGCCAAATATGGTAGCAAAATAAACAGTATGGTCTTGTCACCTCCGTTTCTACTTTCATGGAAATTATTTCAGGGGATAAAGACAAGAGGCAAGACTTAGAAACTGAATTGGAGACGTGTGATGTCCGCGCTGAGTCCAACGAACCCCCAAAGCAGTCAATACGAGATGAGAACTTAAGTGTCGCGCAAGTTATAGCTCGGTACCCACGCTGTAGTAAAACGACTTGTAAGAACCTACATCTTATGGATACTGAGAAGGTAATATTACACTGTTTTAGATCTTAAATGTGATATTATTTATGGTTAATTCTTGATTAACTCATTTTCATACTAGACTTTTCTTCCTCACTCACTATTTCTCCTTGCTAGTATATACCGCATAGGGTAATGCATACGATAATCATTCCATTATAATTCTTCGACTGAGTAAAAACATAGAGATCCGTATCCATAATTGAAGATTTAGATACTAATTATTTGTATTCATATTTTCTGATATACATTTTTAATGATCCAGCATATCATTACTCAGTATAGCAAAATTTAAGAGAAGTAACGGAAGAACCCTAATATGTTTTGCCTGGATCTCTTCTCCTGGAAGAAGTTTTTCTCTGATAACCAAACTTATATCACGGTTATCATATCAACTAAACCTTTAACAATTTCTAAAAACTATATACTAATAAATTTTCCTACTCTCCTAACAGATAAATCTGGATTTAGTGGAACATGTCTTGACATACATAGTGAACGGTGACCACAAGTGGCCAAGAGAGGGCGCTATATTAATATTCTTACCTGGAATAGCTGAAATTATGTCCTTACATGACCAGTTAGCCAATAGCCCAATATTTAGTCGCAAGTAAGTTACCATTATAATGAACTAGCAACTCACCTCAGCTTCGCTGGATTTGTTCCACAAAAAACACTGACTTCAATTATAGCAAAACCAGTTATTTTGTTTTAAAAATTTAACTACTGAGACAATCTTGATAAGGTTTCTTTGGATTAATCTGAAAGTAAATCCTTTCAGATAAAAAAATAAAATATCCAAATCGGTTTTTAAATGTCTGAGTTATGAGGTAACAAACATAAAGAAATACAACTAAATTAAAAACCACCCATTTTTGTTGAAAATACAAAAATACAGTATCTATTATGCAGAATAATTCTGTTGTTTTTGTGTTAAAGCTTTTAAGACAGTCAATCTGTTCATGATTTTGAACCGTTTTAATCATTACAGAAAAGGCAACTATTTATTAGTGCCTCTACATTCCACATTGTCAAGTGAGGAGCAATCACTTGTATTTAAGAAACCCCAGGCTGGAGTACGCAAGATTGTACTGTCGACTAATATAGCGGAGACATCTGTCACTATAGACGACTGCGTGTTTGTTATAGACTGTGGTAGAATGAAGGAGAAACGGTAAGAAATTATACTATTAATAACTATCAAGTTATTTATTATTAAACGAAGTCCTATATACTATGACTCCTGGCATAATATATAGGACTTAAGTCTTCTGTTATTTAGTTTACTCATATATTCATTGACCGGGATAAAAATAGCTTATCTATCTACTCTATCCCATATAGTATATGTATATCAAATTTCATAGTGATTGGTTAAGCATTAAGAGGTAATAAAAAATTTACATTACGTTTATATTATTAATAAGGATTTATTTGAACATTTCTTATGCGGGCACTTAAATCCTTACTAATGTAATTGTAAAAGTGAAGTTTACAACAGCTATATCAATAATAATGAAATTTAAGCGTAAATGGTGTAGAATTTGCTAAGATGATATAGGATAATTGAGAATAGGGACATAGGTTGCGTTTTAATCCGGTTACGAGGATCAATTTGTGGCCATATCTAGAAAATGATAGATTTGTGGGCAAAATATTTAAGGAAAATGGATCGACATATATCTGTATGTATATACTGGTTTTCAGGTTCGATTCTAACCGCAACATGGAATCTCTCGATCTAGTTTGGGTGTCTCGTGCAAACGCCAAACAGCGGCGCGGTCGGGCGGGTCGTGTTATGCCCGGCGTTTGCGTCCATTTGTACACATCTCACAGATACAACTACCATATATTGGAGCAGCCGGTACCAGAAATACATAGGATACCCCTCGAACAATTACTGCTGAAAGTGAAAATATTACCATTGTTTAAAAATATGAGTGTACATGAAGTTTTAGGTAAGTAATAGTATAGTTGAATTTTCAACTTTACTACATTATTAATAGGGTCCGTCGGGTGTTAACACGAAATATATAGTGATTAGGCCAGACTTTCCAAGATTGAATAGCCTAAAACTGATATCTATCAAATAGAATACCCGAAGTCGTGTTTGAATCAAACATGAAATGTAAGGAGTGGTTGCCACTGGTTTTATGTTTCGAAGAGTCCGTAAAATCATCGTTTCGTAAGCGTGACAGGCATTCGTTTATAATGAAGGCTATCTAAAAACTATTTACTCGAGTAGCTGTAATTATCACTAGGTGTCAGTAATTGCTTAGTACTCAAAATAAGATACCTTGGTAATCCCAGGCCAACAAAAAAAAAATCATGACTATTAGAAACTAAATATATAAAATATATAATATAATAAATATTATTTTAACAATATTTTTATGATTTAATTCACCTAAAGATATACTGAAGCCCAATTTATTTATTGCCTCTTTTTTATGAAATGGCAACACTTCTTAACTCGTTCGTGTACTTTCAAAATCATGACTTCGGTTTGTAGTTCGATAATATTAATCTTTTTGTTGGTCTGAGCATGAAACAGCAATGCGTACATTGTTTTGTTTCAGTATGAATTGTGACAGCTCAGTCGGTGAACGCTTGACCGCGGTTCGGGTATCCCCAGTTCGAATTCCAGACCAAACTTCTGAATTGATACAATTTCATGCTTGGAGTATTAAAAAAAACTATTCTCATTTTGGAGTGCACGTAAAGTCGTCATCCGGTAAGCCACGTCAGAGGCCTTGCTAGCTTAGAAACTTGACGTAAAGGGCACTCCGCGAGTAGTAATAGTTTGATTCCGAGTAAGAAATGTATAAAAAAAAATTACATATTTATCGCCTTATTAAAAAAAAAATGAAACCTACAAAACTGCATTCATTTATAAGCATGCTCCGAACTATTTTTTCACTTTCAAAAAATAAAACGGTGACTAACTAATTGGCGGTCGAAGCTTGGATCTCATTTTCGTACTTTATCTATAGCTCGCCGTATTCCTACGTAGCATCTTCTTGAAGGTTATAAGGCCCATGGGTAATAAAAAATTCTGCATTGCGTGAATAATGTAGCAGAGACTTCAAGACCATACATAATGTACCTTACCATCTCTTACATTTGTCACTCCGCTGACGAAGTTATAATATCTACTTACAAGAGCTGTAATATGTACGACTCTTTAAAAACAATTATCTTATTTACAGGAAAAACGATAGAACCGCCATCGAAATCAAACATAGATGGCGCTCTCTCTCGGTTGCAAGATGTGGGTGCGTTAGACAAGAGTTTCGCCCTTACTGCGCTCGGAAAACATTTAGCCGCTCTGCCTGTTGACGTTCGGATAGGCAAGCTAATGCTGTTCGGTGCCATATTCTGTTGTGTGGACTCGGCTTTAACTATGGCGGCTTGTTTGAGTTATAAAAGTCCGTTTGTCGCGCCTTTCGGCAAAAAGGTTTGTATGCATTTAGATTCCAAATTTTTTTGTAACGGCTTTAAAAATGTAGTCCTTTCGCTTATCTTTCATTTCGTTTACATCTTAAATATCTGAGATAGAAAGAAATATTTTGCTATATTTGCAACATGCTGTAGTCTTAAATTTTGATAGAGTGTCTCCATGATGCTAGTGCTTCGCCATAAACAGGCCATCTTTTTTATCCATGTGTTTCCATTACAGAAAAATTATATTTATAAGGTTGAAAAAAAAACTATACAAAATTCTTAGAAATATATTCAAAAGATTGTAATAAATAGTGTACAATGATTCGTAATTTTATTGTTTTTTTTTTACTGATTATTTTGATATCTAACAAAATCCCCAAAAATGGGGGTCATTTTTAATTAATATGTTATGTATGATTTATAAATATACATACGAATATGTATATTTATATAATATCAGACTAAATACTTACTATTTCAAATTAAAAAATCGATTTGATCTTGGAAATTTTAATCTAATTGCATGTAACAATGGTAAAGTAACGTTTTGATTTAAAAAAAAAATTGTCATAATTTAGTTAACAAACGTCAATTTAGCTAATTAAATGTTGCCATGTTTTTGACACTTAATGCTTTATCTTTATAATCTAAAGCTATAGTTTATCCCATGTACGATTGGTGGTGATACGTAGACAGAAATGTGCACGTGTTTCAAGGTCTTTATTGGCCAGTGTTGCCACAGCAGTTTTAACTTTCTTGACTTATTTTTGTCTGTTTCTCTTTTTAGTGACCCGTGATTGTATCAACAAAAAATCGGACCACAATTACACAATTAGGATAATGTAAATATTCCTTCCTTTAATTACAACGACATGACATATTTTATTTATGAAAATAATTTGATTTCCTTTTTCAGTCGGAGGCCGATGCTAAGCGACGGGAGTTCGCGTGTTCTAATAGCGATCAACTGACCACTTTGAAAGCCTATAGGGTATGTACAGATATTGATATATATATATTCTTTATTGCACTTGTAAATTACATTGTTAATGCATTTATAAATATTGTAAGCTAGGGGGGGAATTATCTCTGACAAAGATCTCTTAACCCGATACAGTTAGAAGGCATGTCGTTAGCGGGTAGCTGAAGTGCTACAACTGTTAATATTTAGAATACATAAACAAATGTACAGTTAAATAAAATATAATTAATATATATTTTTTAAATTTATATTCATCTTATTTAGTGTAATAGGAATTTTATGAAGTTACTATGTTTGTAGTTTCCAACAGTTATTTTAGCTTTTTTTTTTTATACAACTTAGAATGGCAAACAAGCTGACGGCCCACCCGATGGAAAGTGGTAACTGTCGCCTATAGACATGAGCTGTACCATGGACATAACAGTAAACACACATACTGTTTCGCCCATGATACCCCCCATGCTTTGCCATTCCTAAGGTCTCAGGTGTTATTCCTCTGTACCCTGTAAATTCACGCCATATCCCACCCTTCAAACCAAAACACAGCCATGCAAACACAATTGTTTCACGGATGGAACAGGTACCCAAGCAATCGACTTTTGTACAAAGTCTCTCTCTGAGTCTTCATTTGGAAGTCTCCTTTAGAATGAGCATGGTACATATATGTACATATAACTTAGAAATGCATAGACTAAACGGTTTACTAGACAGTCACTGTTATATCAGTTACACTCGATCCGTCAGTACTAATATAATATTATATTATCTGTGACTCGGTACTTTTGAATAGTACAGTACAGTACTTTTGGGGGAAAGGGATTGTTAGTAATGGAGACTGAGAATCCCATTGCTAGCAATATATCCAACCATGTCGACCTCGTCGCGGTTCTCCCTGGAAACTATCATGGTTAATTCCTGATGAATTCATCATGATGGGCTAACTGGCCTGTTTTCATTCTCATCTATCACCCTTCACTGGTGCTCCGCAAGCGTATACCGTTAGCGCAGGCGGGGTTACCATACCATTTTTACCCATAAAAAAAAGTACAGTACTTTGAGCGAATTGCAGTGGTAAATCATAGTATATGGAAAAGCTTACAATTTTAAATTATAGTATTTGCGTTTTATTTATAATTATGTCGGCCATTATCTGTTCATTGTTGAACGTAGGCTTCCTCCGTAGCCTGCCATAAGGAACGGAACTCTTCCTTATGGCTAACATTTGTAAGATTTAGCCAGTAGTTACCACGCTTGGCTGACGGATTTCCAACCGCAGTTTGGATTTTGGTCTTGTTTGAAAAGGGACGCTGCAACTCATCTTTCGATAATTACGACCACACCCATGGGACAGGAAGGGGTAGCCTTTACTATGCCATTTATTTTGTCTTAATTTTCAGTTGATAGTATGGGGTTCCATGTTTTTACTTTTAAGTAAATAATAATAATTTAAATAAACTTTGAAAACTTGCTTGTTTATAGAAATGGCAGCAGGCAATGAAAAATAGTACGCATGCAGCCTTAACATTCGCCAACGAGAATTATCTATCGCATAAGACGTTGTTGATGCTGGCCGATATAAAACACCAATTGTTGGGCTTGTTGGCCTCTATAGGATTCGTACCTGACATGCCAGACTTGAGACGGAAGATGAGGAAGGACTCTGTTGCCAATCTTACCGGAGAAGAGGTGAGCATTACTTTCTAGATTTACCCCTATTTTTTCTTAACAATTATTATTATAAATTAGTTTTTAATATTAAAAAAAGTAAAGTTAATTTATTTATTTATTTATTCATTAGTACAAATATGTGTACATAGCAGACTTAATGCTAAAAGAATTTTCTCCCAGTCAACCATAGGGAAGTGTCAGAAGGTACAGTTAGTTTAAGGTAAAGTTGTACCAGGTAATCAGTTATATTTCTTAAGATTATTATTAGATAGTGTATATTTGTATTTTTTTTTCAGCTAAACACAAATGGTAATAACGACAAATTGTTGGCGGCAATTTTGTGCGCTGCCTTATACCCAAATGTTGTAAAGGTAAGAAATTAAAAAAAATGTAAACCAACTTAAGGCCAATAGCTATAATTCGAGTAACATGTGATTGATAATTTAATTGCATTGCATACTCCAATCTTACCACAGCCCTTTTAAGAAAAGGAAAAGGACTACGTTAGTGTCGGGGTGAGGGGCAGGGAGGGGGGTAGGAATTGTCAAAAGTTAATTTTGAATCTATTAAACTAGTTGATCATATAAAATTAATTATTATTGTACGATACTACATTTTATATCCGTCGCTAAGAGAATAAATTGGTTAAATCACCGCTGCGCCTTATCCCCGATCCCTCCTGGAAACCATCATGATTAATACCTGGTGAATTTGCTTGAACGTCTGCATTGATGTTGATAATAAATGACACACCGTCAAAGGCAGTCCTATATCTACCAAAAGGTTTTTTTTAATCTATATATAAATACAATAATTAGATTAAGCGGGACCTATCGTTATTGCGAGATATTCGTGTAATTGGAAATCCAGATAAAAAAGAATATATGAAGAAAAGCGCTTTTTGTACATACTTTTTATTTCTAGAAAGATAACTTACCACGTTCCCATACACGTGTTATTTTTAAAAGGATAAAAAATAAACCAAAATAAATGTTTATTAAGAGATTAGTCATACATTTTCATACTTAGGAATGTACCTACATATTTTGTACAATTTTATTGCTTTACAATCCGGATAATCATGAATCTGTAAAATATGAGGTCCAGATAATCGGATCTCTACTTAATTACATGATTTTTTAATTAGTTTTTAATATAATCCCCAGGTGTTAACCCCCGAGAAGTCGTTCCACATGCAAGCGGGCGGTGCGATACCGCGCCAACCGACTGCGGACGAGTTGAAGTTCAAGACAAAGTCGGACGGTTACGTGGCATTGCATCCTTCTTCCATAAACTCCAACGTGGGCTACTTCGCGAGCCCCTACCTGGTGTACCAGGAAAAGGTGAAGACGTCGAGGGTCTTCATCAGGGAGTGTTCCATGGTGCCCCAGTTGCCATTGGTGCTGTTCTCTGGTAAGTTTTTCTTAGACTATACAAGTTTAATGATAAAAGCTTAAATTCGGTAATTCGCTTCTTTTTATTTCTATTGATATTTTGAGAAACGTTTTGGCTTCTATACTTTTTAGGGTTATTAAACCCTGCTGATTACTATTCTGTCAGATGCTATCCCCTCCGTTTTCTTCTTCTCCTTATTAGTTCTTTTAAAATCTATATGTAAATATTGTAGAGAATTTAATGAAGATTATATTTGTCTTTGAGAGTTTTCTGCTATCTCCGATAGTTTTAGTAGAAAATTAAAAAAACCGTAGTTAGTGATACGTTTATGGGTAAAAGGGGAGAAGGAGGGCGCGGAGGGAATAATACCGAACGAATCGTAATCAGCAGGGTCTCATTACTTTAAAATTACCAATCGTAAAAGTTTCACGAAATGCAGAAAGTTGCGCACAATTTTTATTATGCAACTTAGAATGGCAGCCAAGATAACGAGTCACATGATGAAGAGAGAGAGAGAGAGAGAGAGAGAGAGAGAGATTCTGATAAAAATGTTTTAAGACTATGAAGTAGGTTATAAAAATTTTAGATATTTTGGATTATTTTTCTTTACACTCATTTGCAAGTTCTTACTTTAATGATTTGTTTGTGGCAACAACGACATCTATCGGTCTTTTGATTTTAAAATGTCAAAGTCTTAAATAATAATAATAAAACTAATCATTTAACAGGTCGCAACCTGTCCGTGGAACTGCATAATGGTACTTTTATAGTGTCACTAGAAGACGGGTGGATAATGTTCCAAGTTGAACAGCACGAGGTAAACAATAATTTATTTAATAATCCTATTACTTAAAAAGATTAAAAACTCCTTAAGTTTGTTTTTTTTTTTAATGTTTTCTCACTTTCTTACACGCACAAGCAACTCCTCTCGTGTTGCAAATGTTCATCCATCAGGCGGATCGTATGCTCGTTTGTCTCCCTAACAATAAAAAAAAATATTTCAAATTGAGAAATTGGCGTTAAAGATAAACCTCCTTATTTATAAAAAAAAATGTCCTACAAACCATTTTTAATTTTAAACATTCGCGTTGTGTATTTTTTATATTTTAAATATACAAACGCGACTTAACGTTATGAAAAACCTTTACAGTTTTATAATACTGTTTCTTTATTGACGACGTATCTATGTGGATTGCATCACGTCGTGCTCTTTTAAAGGGTGATAATGAAATGGTAACCCCGCCTGCGCTATCGGTGTACGCTGGCGGTGCACCAGTGAGGGATAATTGGTGAAGATAAAAGCAGGTCTGTTAGCCCATCGTGACGAATTCCACTAGAAGTAACCACGATGGTTTCCAGGGACAGCGTGGACGTCGACCTGATAAAGTGTATTGCTAGCAATAAGACTGTTAGACTGCATTACTAACAATCCCTTTACCCCCACGTGGTGGTCACGACAAGACTGACAATGACTATGTAGGTATATAGGTACAATTTACCTGCAAAGGGTTTTTATCGTTAAGTCCCGATTGTGTATTTAAATATAAACTACTTTTAAACGAACTTAACTATTACAATGTTTTGTCACTGTCATTCAATTTGAGGATTTAGTGCAAAAGAAAGAGACAAAATACTTGAATAAGTGTTTGTCTTTTTTTTGGACTAAATTCTCATTTAATCAATAGCTAAAATAGGTTTGTGGAACGGTAAACGTTTTTATGAATAAGAGGGTAAGAAAATAATAAAATTACGTTTGGTGTTTACGCCCCCGTGTCTTGTAATTTTATTGCTATATGCCACTCTTCAAATCGAAACAGCCATGCAAGTACAGCTACTTGGCGGTAGAAACACGAATAGAACAGGAGCACTACAAGTGGATATCTCCGCATATAATTTTTCTCAAGGATTATTAGTACTGGGATCTAACAGCCTAAATCCCTAGCTATGTATTTTGCTATATCTACCTCCACGCAGTCCCATCTGGAAACCATCGTGGTTAAATTGTAATGAATTTGCTAACTGACTCGAATTTATACTGCTTGGTACCCCAATGGTGGCGGGGTTGCCTATCATTTTATTTTCATATAATTTTTTATACCTATCTATATTTTATCATGTTAAAAATCTACCCCTGAGGGCCTACCATGAAATATTTTCTGAAATTTCGGGAGCGAACGAAACAGAAATTTGATGTTAAAATTACATAATACATGCCGTTTAAAATTATTAAAAATGTTAAAATATCATTCCTCTGGACTATTAGGATAGAATTTATGATAAACGAAATGTTAAGCTCTATTTACTGGGTCGATTTTGATACAAACAAAAATACGAAATTGAGCCCGAAAATTCGAAATTTCATTTCATGGTAGACCACCAGATATGTTATAACACAATTATTCTTTTACAGGTTGCCGAAATGCTAAAAACAATAAGGGTAGAACTGATTAATCTTCTAGAAGAGAAGATAAACGATCCGAGCCTCAATTTATTACATTACGAGAAGGGAAATAGAATAATAAAGACCATTGTACAAGTAATTAGTAACGATTAACACTAATTCCTATAATTATTTTGTCGTACGGGAGGGGGGGGGGTGAAGACTAAATATGAGTGAGTGAACATGCACATTCATATAAGAAAACGAATCGTTATGTGCATGTGTGCATGAACACAAACATAACTATATAATATTTATAAATAATCTGTCTTAACGTCCACTACCCAAAAGTCGTATGCAAGAGATTGTCTTGTAATAAGACCGTCTTTTGTATTACTTTTATTATTTATTTTTGTAACTGTTGTGATAAAATGTAAATACATAATAATAATAATAACATAATAACATAAAAAATCATCATCATCATATCAGCCATCACCTGTCCATTGGTGAACATAAGCCTTTTCTATAGGAACTGGCTCATTCCTTATGGCAGTTTACCATTACTGAGATTTTGCCAATAGTTACCATGCTTGGCAGGCGAATTAGCGACCGTAGTTTGGCTTTTACTGATATTTTAAGAGGGACACTGCTGCCCATATTTCGACCATGAAATTCCCTTAGTTTCACTCACGGGAAAGGAAGGGGTGGCCTATTCTATGTCTAGACCCTTTCAAATAGGAAATAAATTATTTCTCATCACAAGAGCTTAATTAGATGACGCAACTGTATTTAGCATGTTTGTATTTCTAAATTAGTTTCCATAGAGCTTTATTTGACTTTGTAAAAGTTGTTAGTAAAGATTAGTACTAATATACCTAAAAGTTTGCTATACGAGAGTCGAGGCTAAAAATTAATATGTGACTGACTATGTACACAATCATACCGCATTATGAAAACTTATGTACACTCACAAAAATAATTCAATTAAATATCATCACAACCACAATTTTGTACAAGTTTTTTTTTATAATCTTTTTTATTTAGAGGCTTTTATCCTATAAGGATATGTCAGCCTCATCATACCCTTATTTTATAAAATACGTCGCATACTTAAAACATTGATACATAAATAAATAATACATAATATCTTAGAAGTCTATTTTGATAAAGGGAATTATTGATACAAAAATATAGTAATTAAAGATTTTGCCATTCCGGAATGTGGTTCTGCGAGTATATTTGAAAATAAACCAATCTCATGTCTATTGACACTATATTTTGTACAAGTTATTAATAAAGATTCAACAATAATCTTGTTGTACCAATGTCAAGGATAAATATTATACAATGAAAACTTACGTGCACACACATCAATCATATCAGCTTTTAACTATCCACTGCTGAACACAACTCCCCCTTGGGAGGTTTTGCCACTAGTTGCCACGCTTGGTAGGCGGGTTGGCGAACGTAGTTAGGCTTTAGATATTTTTTAAGAGGGACGATGCTGCCTATCCCTCGCCCCCCCCCCCCACCCCCTAGTCAATTCTTACGACACCAACGGAAATGTAGAGGTGATCTATTCTACGCCGGGACCACACGGCTCGTGCACACACAAACATCACTAATTCGTCATCGTAACTACAATTTTATTGTATGTGTAAATTTTTAGCTTTAAATTACATATAATAGAGTCCAATCGACTGAATTATAAATGTTTTGTTATTAAATTAAATATTTAAGATTTTATTGGTCCTATTGTAATTATTACTGTCGGATTTACTTATGTATTAAATTTGTGATTGAAATAGATCTAATTATTTTTACTCTGTTAATTTTAAAAGGAAATATCAAAGTCGACGAAGATAGTCTGTGACCTTGACCTTTGGTGATGTTTTAAGAGGGACGCTACTGCCTATCCCTTGACGATTAAGTTCTCTTAGTTTCTTACGACACTCACGAGAAAGAAAGATATGGCCCATTCGCCTCCCAATACGCCGGAACCTCATGGCATAGAATGGAATAAAATTAAAAAGTTTCTGGCTTACTAGGAAATTTTATAATTTTAAAATTTATTTCATTTTCAATTTTGTCAATTAGAAAACTTATAGTTCACCTGACTACGCCCTTGCCGATACCTGATGTCCAATCATGGTTGAATGAGCTTTTATTAGAAGAAATAAGTTATCAATATGTTGTGTATATTTGCATAATATTATAAGTTTGTTATTGTATATATGTTGCGCCCGCGATGATATATATATATATATATATATATATATATATATATTTGAAGGGATCGTACAAATAATTCAACTTAATTATGCAGAATTGTCCTCTCTTGTAGAGGTTACAGTTACTGTGATTATTGCTGCATAAATAGCTCTAATTTGTTTATGAACTAAGTATTACTACTTTTTGTTCTCTGAGATTGTAAATAATTATAAATTACATATAAAAGAACGCCATCTAGTTTCAAGCTAAGCAAATGTATTTGTTTTTTAACTTCAAGCGCTATCAGTATATCCTGATTTGGTGGTGCCCCGTTAGGCCCGTGAGGGACGATAGGTGAGGATGAAAGCAGGTCAGTTAGCCCATACTGACGAATTTCACAAGAATTAACATTTTAGAAATTAACAATTAAGAAAATAGTTTCCAGGGGGAACTGTCTGGAGGTCGACCTGATAGGATGTGTTGCTAGCAATAGGACATTTAGACTGCATTATTAATAATCCCTTTCCCTCCAAGCAAAGGTACTGGACAACTGGTACTTATATCTACTTACATAATTTATTTGCACTAATTTTTACTTACTTAAATTTGTTCTTTAAGTACATCCATAGAATACTAACATAAAAACATACAGGGTGTAAAGGACAGGTTGGCAAAAATTGAAACAGTGAATTCAGAGCTTTATTTTAAACTGAAAACCAGTGGAAGTTCATTACTGAAATTTCATTGTTTTGGTTATTTATATTTTTATTTAAAATTATGTAATGTATAATATTATGTCATAATATAAAGAGATTTTAATATGTTATAGTGAAATACTATGAAATACCAAAAAACAGCAATGTAATAATTGTATCAACATCTTATCGCGTCGCGCGGAAATAGCTGCGAAGGTCAAACGTCACAAGCCTAAGAAAACTATCTACGAAGAATCGCCATTGACCACGCAGTGTAGATATCCCGCGTCACGTGGAGCACAGTACGTCGTAAAATTTCAAATACATTGCGCGGCGTCAAAACTAATAATCGTTAATTATATAGCTGTGGTGTATTTCCAGTAACAAAATAATCTGCCATCTGATTTAGACCTTTCATCTGAATCAGCTGTTTTCGTTTTGGCCAACCGGGGACAGATGGACTAAAACCACCCTGTATATGAATGCAAATGTTTATATGTTATGGGGATTAATAAATCGGATGGGGAGACAGTATATTTAACCTCTACACCACGGATATATCAGGAAATACTAACAATTACAAGTCGATTGCTTGGGCACCTCTGTCCCATTCGTGTTTCAACCGTAAAGCAGTTGTGTTTGCATAGCTGTGTTTCGGTTTGAAGGGTGGGATATGGCGTGAATTTACTGGGTACGGAGGAATAACACCTGAGTCCTCAGGAATGGCAACACATGGGGGGTATCATGGGCGAAACAGTATACTCTATTATGTCCATAGTACTGCTCATGTCTATAGGCGACGGTTACCACTTTCCATCAGGTGGGCTGTCAGTTTGTTTGCCATTTTAAGTTGTATAAAAAAAATAAAAACGAAGCAAAAGATAAGGTGCTAAGAATTTCTGAATTTTATGTTTATTTTATAATTAAACTTCATAATGTACAAAATAATTGCATAATATTTTTTCTTTGTTATTAAATGAATATCAATTTTTGTTAATTAAATGAAATATTCACGGACAATAACTTAAAATTTGTATCTACTGTAATTTATTATTTTATATCACAATAAGGTTCTAGTTGAATTTGTATATATATATATATATATATATATATATATATATATATATATATATATATATATGTAGAATAAATTATTTTTATTATTAATTCCTATTGTTTTTTTTTTGAGTCTACCTTCCTACATATTTCTCTAATTAATTTAATTAATTCCTGTATGGCCAGGGGGATTAAAAACCGTTTTACACGAATCGGTAACTACGATTCATTTTGTATGTATTCGCCAATGAAACTACCAGATTTTTTTATATTAAATTTCCCTATTAGATTCGACGGATTAGACAATATGAATGGTATGACAATTCACATAAATTAGCTTTTATTACTTTCTAATTAACTGTAATTAAATACTGTAAATAATTAAAACGTCATCTATGTGTATGTAAATATTACTTATGTCGCAGCGTCTCGGTCGTTTCGGAATCCGTTTCGTTGGAATCTGAATTTATCTACACTACACTAATAAAGAGGAAAGGTTTGTATTTTTGTGTGTATATTTGTAATAAATAAACTCAAAAACTACTTTGCCGATTTCAAAAATTCTTTCACCATTAGAAAGCTACATTCACCCTGAGCAACATAGACTAAATTTATTGTTAGAAAAGATTATGGATCCTTACTAAAACTTTAGTAACGTAACTCATGGTGTAAATAAATGCTATAAAATATCTTTTGTCGCGTGCGCTGCCGAAACTATTGGTGATAGAACAAAAGTATGTTCTACAATATTGAAGAAAATATCAATAACAAAACTAAACTTCGTGATACTATATGTCACAATAAACACTTTTTTTTATGTTGTAAATATGTCAACCCTTGCGAAGCTGGGACGGGCCGCTTGTTCCTTAATATAATAACATATTACAATATCGGTAAAATCCTACGTATCGAGACTGCTACTGAAAAATCTCTGTTCGACATTTTTGTAATTTACACAATGCCTTACCATTTTCCATTCTTTTTTATGAACTATCGTTCCGGCCCGGCTACGCACGGGTAGACAGAATTTTCAATCATAAAATAATGCCATTTGTTACTCGATGATAATGCAGCTTTCTATTGGTGAAAACATTTTCTAAATCGCCCTATAGTTTTTTAGTTTATCCATTACAAACGAACAATCGAATCTTTGCTCTTTATAATATTAGTATTGATGAATATGTTAAATCGCGGTGAACTCATTTTGGCCTTTTGTTCATTCACGGTTGATGCCCCTAGGTTAAGCCCTGGCTACTATAATCTCTCCTCTACCTATGTAGAGTAAAGGGATTGTTAGTTATGCCGATAAGCAACTCCATTGCAATAGCAATGTATTCTATCAGGTTGGGGGAAAGGGATTATTAGTAATGGAGACTGAGAATCCCATTGCTAGCAATATACCCAACCAGGTTGACCTCCTCGCGGTTCCCCCTGGAAACTATCATGGTTAATTCCTGATGAATTCATCATGATGGGCTAACTGGTCTGTTTTCATTCTCATCTATCACCCTTCACTGGTGCTCCGTCAGCGTATCCTGTTAGCGCAGGCGGGGTTACCATACCATTTTCACCCATCAAAAAAAGACACTCTATCAGGTCGACCTCCACATTGTCGTTCCCCCTGGAAACCATTGTGATTGATTTATTGTTGATTTCCCCAATATGGACCAACTGACCTGCTTCTTCCTCATTTATCACCCTTCACTAGTGTCCCGCCAGTATATACCGATAGCCTAGATGGGCTATTATCATCCATTAATTTTTTTTTATACAACTTAAAATGGCAAACAAGCTGACGGCCCACCTGATGGAAAGTGGTAACCGTCGCCTATAGACATGAGCAGTACCATGGACATAACAGAGTATACTATTTCGCCCATGATACTAACTAACCCATGCCACCCAGGAGGGAAAGGGATTGTTAGTAATGGTGACTGAGAATCTTATTGTTAGCAATATATCCAACCAGGTTGACCTCCTCCATTCCTGAAACTATCATGGGATTAATTCATCGGCTTGTTTTCATTTTAAATCACCCTCCACTGGTGTGGTCACCATACCATTTTCACCCATCAAAAAAACTCATGCCACCCATAGGGGGCCATGCGTTGCTATTCTGAGGACTCAGTTATTATTCCTCCATATATTCCACCATTCAAACCGAAACACAGCCATGAAAACACAACTGCTTCACGATAGAAACACGAATGGGACAGAAGTACCCAAGCAAACGACTTTTGTACAAAGTCTCCCTCTGGTAAAATATAGTTACATATTGTTATTTATAACAGTTCCAGTACGAATCTGATCCGTGAACGGAACAAAAATCAAAAACAAACATTCACACGCGGAGGTGTAACAAATTGACCTAACATCGGAAATGTGGGCGTCATCAATCACACCGTTTGGAACATTGTCCAACAAAATGGATTTGTCCCGAGCAAACACGGTCTAACGACCGCCGGTCACAGCCTGAAAGGTAGGGCTGCAGATACATCACAAAAACATGTCATATTTCATCCAAAAGTCTGCTTTAGTGATTTATTGGACACTAACCTTCACACGTGACTTCGTTCGTGTGGTCGACACATGTACATTGGCCAGGATAAAAAGCAGTCTATGTTCTTCTTCAGCTTTTATATTGAATTTTGTAAAGATTGGTTGTGCCGTTAAGGTGCTAAGGGGTAAAAAATACACTCACTTTAATTTTTTTTATACCACTGATGTGACAAACAAGCATACGGTCTACCTGGTGGTAAGCAGTTACCTATATAGCCTATGAAAGCCTGCAGTACCAGGAGCATTTCGTGCACGTTGCCGACCCTTAATAAATCTCTTCATCCCTTT